AATTAAAGCTGGACTCAGGGAGTTAAACATGCACAGGCCCTGAGATAGGGCATGCTTGGCACATCAGAGGGAAATGCTGGAGAGAATTAAGTGAAGCAAAACCTGGTAGATGGGACCAAAGACATAAGCGGATCTACATTATTGACCTTACAGACAACAATCAGCAATTCAGACATTATTTGGAGAGAGATGGGAAAGCAGTGGAGGGCTTGGAGCAGAGAAGCAGCTTGATCTGACAGGTTTTGACAGCATCACCCTGACTACTCTGTAAAAAAGGACCAACATGAGGTTGGAAGCAGGAGAACAGCCTGGATGAGAAACAATGGTGGCTCAGGCCAGGGTGAAGGGGTCAGCAGGGGTCAAATGTCAGGTGTGTCCTGAAGGCAGAACCAACCTCAGAATGAATGGGATTCACAGAGGGTTTGGTGGCAGGGTGTGAGAGGAGGAGAGGAGTCCAGGATGGCTGCTGGTGAAGGTTTTGGGCTTACCAAATGAAAGGACAGAGTTCTGTTCACTAAGATAAGGAATGTGGGGAAGAAGTGGATTTGAGAGAAAAATGAGTAGTTCAGTTTTGAATATGCTTAGTTGAAATGCCTCTTTAATGTCTAAGTGGAAATTAACGTTAGTCACTTGACTTGATAGCTGAGATCACAGCTGGAGAATTCAAATGCTTTGGGGACCAGGCAGGAAACATACGTAAGTACTGAAATATAATAAGGAGAGGTGGGGACTGTTGCTATAGTCAATAATATTGTCTGTTGTCAACAATATTGTAATAACTATGCACAGTGACAGATGGTCACTAGACTTATTGTGGTGACCACTTTGTAAGGTATATAAATGTTGAATCACTACGTTGTATACCTGAAACTAATATAATACTCCATGTCAACTATAATTGAAATTAATTTAAAACTATTGATATTTACAAAATAAATACAATAAGAAGAGGCAGGGACTACAGCTGGTCAGAGGGTAGTTGTCCCATTTGAAGGGGAAGCTGCTCCTGAGCCCAGTCCAGTGCTGTCGTTTCGAATCTGGGCCTAGTGTTCCTAGACCTTCCCATTTCTTAGCAGGAGGAAGAATCTGAATTTTTAATATCCACATCTTAGGGAAATAAAATAAGTTCCACAATATAGTAAATCCTAAAAGTGTTCTGTTAGTGTTCTAACTGCAGGCATTATTGGTGTCTTTAATTTATTAATATACATCTCAAGAAGAGGTTGGTTTAGCATTTTTCTAACTTGCTTGACAATCAAATCCTCTCTTCATGCAACACCTCAAGGGACAAGGTTTCCTTGGCAGGTACCTGGAAAGTGCTGGTTTATGCAAATGTCCTCAATGCCTAATCAACTGCTTTATTTCCTTTTTCAATATTTTAGTACATATGTTTCTTGCAGCTTGTGAGTCATAGTTGATCACACCCACACAGACACACAACCAAATCTGTCAGATGTTCTAACATCTAATATCAGACTTGGTCCAAACATAAATGAAGTACTTATTAGAGCCTTCCAAACTGCTAAACAGTGTGTGGAGCCTTGACCTTCTCATTGGTGAAGAAAAACTGAGTGAAATCACAGGAACACTGACTGAGTAACTCCATTTCCCCGCTTCTCTCCCTCCTCCACCTGTCGGGCTACACGACCTACTGACGGGAAGGACAGTCTGTTATTTCTACGCACTTGGCAGACATTCTTTGTTTTGTTTATCCACGAGGTAGGAAGAAGGGAGAAAGACAAATAAGTCTGGAATGGAAATTCTGTAATGAAAAGACAAGACTAATATTGTTGCAGGTCTTTAAAAATAGACTCTAGGATATATTAAAATATTCGAGGTGCAGGGCTCGTCTGAAGCATCAGTGTGCATAGTCTGTAAAAGAGCTCACAGTACAGTTGGGTAGATCAGTACATTTAAAAGACAAACAATATAAAAATGTCACATATTGCCCTGGCCAGGTGGCTCATTTTGTTGGAGCACTGTCCCGTACACCAAAAAGGTCGCAGGTCCGGTGTACAGGAAGCAACCGGTTGGTGTTTCTCTCTCACATCGATGTTTCTCTTTCTCAAGTCAATAAACATATCATTGGGGGAGATCATTTTTTTTAAATGTCACATATTGTCAAAAACGTCTACAAAAGTTCACAGAAGGGAAACAGCAATGTGGGTTTGAATGGCCAGTGAGAGTCTCGCCTGAGCTGGTCCTTGAAGCACAGTGAGGTATCGGATCAAGAGCAGGGTGGTGGGAGTTCCGTGCAGGAGAGACCAGGGCAGAGTGGAGATGAGGCACTCTAGGAACCGTGAGTGCACAGGACTGTACAGGTTGGGAGGAGAATGGGACACTGAGGCTGGATCACGTCATGGTGGTAGCTGAATCCCCCGTAAGGAAATATGGCCTTAATTGTGCAGGTCATTGAAGGATTTGTGAGTCTTTGAAGGATTCTGGGCATGAATCTGTCATATTATGGAAATTTGATCTTATGAAGCCATGGGGAGAAGGTGAGGCAAGAGGACTTTGCAGGATTCTGGGTTGAAGTGAGGAGAGTCTGGGCTAGACAGTGAAGAGTGGGAATTGAAAGAAATTATGATATTTATGAAGGAAATAATGAATTGAACTTGCTAGCCTATGGAATGTGAGGCAAATGAGAAAGGAATGGCTTTGACCCTGGGTCAGTAACATAATGACTATCCCGATAGCAAACTGGTTTATACATATTCATTTATGGTGACGTTGGTGCATCCAAGGAAAGATGTCCAATCAATTAATTAGTGATCTAGGACTAGAACTTGGGAAAGAAAGGCAAATAATGAACACTGAGGCACCATGGTATTCTCAGCTATGTGCTACATCCTTTACCTACATGATCAACCTAGGAGAGAAACAGGGATGGACTTTGCACTTTGGCGCCATCTGCATAGATGTCAGTCAGGTCGGGAGAATAACGACATTCAACAAAGACCAATTTATCACAATTCCTCCGTGCCCCTTCCCTATGAAAACAGTCATTACACAAAAACAGATGCATAAAAACACACTGCATCCTATCACATCACAAGATCACTCAAAATTCTGGTTTCTGGAAGTTAATACTGGATTCTAGGAAGTGACAGAGATAGGGAAGAAAAAACACAACTGTAGTGATTCTTTTGTTTTTCTTTCCCTTGAGAAAAATGAAATGACAAAAAAACAGGAGGCAGGAAGAAACGAGGGGAGAAAGTATTTGGGCGAGTTTCCACTTGCTGAGATAAACAGGAATGAAAGAAAGCAAACTCTTTCCTTAAATAACAATAAACATTTGAACAGTGCCTCCCTAGTTTTCTAGAATTCATTATCAATTTACAAACACATTATCCGATTCCCATCATGCACCTTTCCATTCACAAGCCAGCTAGGAGCCACACATTCCACCTTCCAACTCCCCCTGGCAGACCAGGGTCTCAGTGTCCTGGTTTTGCCGGCCCTGGAGCTCAGGCCCACAGGCACATCAACAGTGATGACAGGTGTTTAAATGGCCGTCATTAGTCTTTTCCATTTGTCACAATTCTCCAGGGTGAGCTGAGTCCATCCCTTCCTTCCCTCAGCCACCAGAAAGGCCGTGCTGCTTAAAATGTCCCTCCATTCAAACACCCAGGGCAAGGGAAGAGGAAAAAGCCAAAAGAAAGGACAGAGGATCAGGTGAAGGGTAGATTAAAATGGCAAACTTAGAAAATATCTTCTCAGCATGCAGTAGTTACTTATAATACAACTTGTTTTCATTCAGGGTACTCTTACTTTCTTTTACTCTACAAATGCAATGCTATAAACATTATAACTGTGTGCAATCACACATTTAGTCACTAGTATAACTGTTCTTAATAAACAGAACATAAATGCCCCTGTTGAACTCTATAACAAAGGACATCAAAAATTCCCCAAGACCCATAGCAGAAACGTCTGCTTAGAATCTGCAAAACATATACACATCAGAAATCACTGATTCTTACAAATTCCCTGGAACCTCTTGCTAGAATGAGAAGGGGAGAGTTGGGAGGGTTTGTAGACTGAATGTTCCCTGCATTCTCACCACCTAAAGAATAAATTCACATCTGGAACCGGCTGCCTCAAGACCCAGGTCTGTACCAGGGACAACTGAATGATGGATGGCTGTACTTCTAGAAACCAGGCAGTGTACTTTGAATACACAAAATACAGGGGGAAGAACCTTGCAAAAATGTCTGCTAAGTGAATGTCCCCCTAAAGAAAAGTTTTTATAAAAAGTTAACTATACTTGCTTACTGTGAAATTCCAGTTACACAACAAAAATCTTATCACAGATAATATTATAATGATACACAGTAATAATGAGACAAGTACTGGGCAAAACAATCATCTGTTTTGACAATTTAGACAATTCCTACAACAAATCCCCACACGACTCGGACTGCAGTAGCAAGGAATTAACTCTGCAAACAAAAATAACTTAGAGTTGGCTCAATGGAATAATTAAGCAACAGTAATTCACTTCCTCTACTGACTTTAAACATTGTCTGGGTTCTTACTGCCCTTCATCCCCTGATACTACAGTTTTACTTATAATCTAATTCCTGAATGTGTTGCTAGATTCCATGAAACAGCAAAGAGAAGTTAGTGCTTTGCAGACCAGTGAGAGACTAACTGAAAGAAGACTTTTGCAGGCTGAGGCCCCTTTCTGCCTCCAGAGATGAAGAGGGGGAGCAAACGGTCCAGGCCCAGAGGCTGGCTCCCGCTGCCGGGTGCAGGCAGTGAGGAGCACACTCCAGGGCTTCCGGCCGCCCTTCTGTGCTCTGTGCTCTAAAAAAAAATCCTAAATAACAGAGAAGCAAGAACTGGATCATCAGGTAGATCTACAGAAATTAGTGAGTTTTCCTGTGGAATAAAATATTTTCACAACAAAATTTCAGAGTTAATGAGCAATTCCACCACATTCTAACGGTACTGCATTTGCATAAGATAACAAAATGCACTTTGTACTCTTCTCTTACCTGTCTACTGTCCCTTTGGGAGGATGTCGAAGAGGAGGCACTTCTATGGGTGGGAGTGGATGTTTTATGGGCGGGGGATATGCCCTTCTCGTCTGAACTCATAGCTGCAGTTAGGATCTAGTTGCACGCACTTAAGATCATCCCAATGGTCTTGAATTCGGACAAAGAAGTAGATAAACTTCCAGCCTCAGTCCATTTCACAAATCGAGATTGACTAGAAAAGAGAAGGCAAAGAGTCAGAGGGTCCAAAACATCTCAAAGCAAAACAAACTATAATTTATGTAAATAATTTTAAAAAATTAAAAATTATATTCAGGAAAAATGTTAGTGAGGGGAAGAAGTCTGACACATTAGGAGGCGTTTCTTCCTCTAGATTTCTAAGGGGGAGGCTGACAGCAGGAATATACACCAAAAGTCTGTCACCAAGCGAAGTGGGGAGAAACCTCGTGCTCAGGTCACAGTCTTCCCTCATGTTCTCTGTGTTTTAAAGCTGTCTGCGTTGCTATGTTCCGGCCCCTCGTGTCAAAGTACACAGTTTCTTCTTATGAAGTTTAATTTCCCCTGTCTAACGGATTATAGTAAGAACTCAGTCCATACTTGTGTCCAGTTAAGTTCAGTCATGTCATGTATGTGACGGTTAAATCCAACACAAAGCAGCCATCACAAAAGGCAGAAGGGCTCATGCTGTTTGTGTATCATTTGATCTAGCCTGTAGGAAGGACCAAGGAATATGTATATCCACTGTTACTGCACCACAGGACTACAGCCCACCTACACACGACTCTCTCCGCACCAACATCCAACATGCTGGAAGGCACCAGAGATCGACAGGCAGGCCCCAACACTGGGGTGATGCTTGGAGTTGCTTCACGGACCTACAGCCAAGGGCCGCTTCTTTTCTCACCTGGATTCATATAAGGAAAGTCTGTAGTGTAGCACTAAGGCTAAAAACTTGTGTCTGAGAGAAGCATTGTTCAACTGGCAACAGAGGTTGCTAAAAAACAAATCTTTTTAAAGCATACTAGTGTGAAGTGAAACACTTACACACCCATCTGTGACCCAAAAGACTGACCACTAAAGTGAACTTCATCCCCTTCTAAGAAGACAGAAGGCCAAGTTCTAGGTCCCATCTTAATGCTAATACTCCTGGAAAGGAGCGCAGGACACTTGGGTAAGTGCTTTAGCACAGGTTATGAGGGAAAGCTTCTGTTGAGGAACAGAGGGTGTCCCACCTTTTGGCGCCTGGGCCACACTGGGAGAAGAAGAGGTGTCTTGGGCCACACATTAAATACATTGTGACACATCATAACAAAAAATCTCATAATGTTTTAAGTAAATTTACAGTTTTGTGCTAGGCTGCATTCATAGCCATCATGAGCCGTGTGCAGCCCATGGGCCGCAGGTTAGATACCCCTGCGAAAAACAGTCCCCTCAGGGTATTATGAGGACACAGGGCAAGGAGAACTAACTGGATCTGGAGGTCAGAGGTGCCCTTGAGCAAGAGTGTGTGGGCTGAGACTTGAAGGATAGATAGGAATTAACCAGATGCTGGGCAGCCAGCACGGTGTGATCCAGGAAGGGGTCCTGGCCACCACGGTCAAAGAAAGGCAGAGGCTAGGTCCTACCAGGGTCTATGGGCCAAGTTCAGCATTTTGACCCTAAGTATAAGAAGCCACAAAGGGGTGTGGTTTATAACAAGATGTGTATGTTTAAATAAAGGTACTTTGGCAGCCATTAGGAGAACCAAATTAGGGAAATGAAGATGAGGAAGGTCCAATAAGGAAGCAAGAGATGATGGACCAGAGATGTGGTGAGAAACTGAGAGGATAATTCCCAGATTTTCAGCATTCAGAGTGAGGGCTGGCCAAGGGAAACCTAGAACTGACAGAAGGCCATGAGTATGGTTTCAGACGCGTGGCTGGGAGGTACAACTGAGGCCTGAAATGGAGACAAACATTTGGAAAGTTCTGTCAGGGATCAGAGAAAGTTAGACCGAAGACAAATGTTTAATAGATTATGTTAATGACACAAGCATATTGAGTGATTTGTGTATAAATCCTGTAACTCTGTACCTGCAAATAAATTAAATTTTATGCAGGGCTATATAAAATCTACAACGTAAACCAAAGTGTCACAGGTTCGATTCCCAGCCAGTGTACATGCTTGGGTTGCAGGCCATAACCCCCAGCAACCACACATTAATGTTTCTCTCTCTCTCAAAGTGAATAAATTTAAAAAATCTTAAAAAAAAAATCTACAATGTTATGTTAACAGATTATGTGAGCCTGAATATGTTAAGCAGGATTTTAATAGTTACCAGGTTATAAAGAATATTCAAAAGAAATATCCCCACAATTAAAAGGAAAGTTATTGTAAATGAGAAAAAAATGGACAATCCAGCGAATAAAACTTGTTATCCTTTCTGAAGATTTATCTTCATGGCCACTGCAGGAAAAACAAAAGCTACTTACTCCAGAAACTGGAAAACTTTCTCTTGCTTCAAAACTAGTTTTGGGGCCAATAGAAATGCAATGAGCTATAGAGCTCTTTCCTGGGCTCAGACAAGGTTCCATTTGGTATCAGCAAAAGGTAGTAATAAATCAACGTGTAAATAATCATCTAACACGTTTGTTTTGTGAAAGCAGTTTGATAAGCATGAGTAAAATTTCTCAAGCCAAGCTGTGGTATCAGGCAACAGAAAGTGAGAACACCACTGGGATCCTTAATGTGAAGTCCTCTGCCTTCTGGTCCCAAATGTCAGATGCCAACGCTTGAGCTGAAAGTGTGGAGCTTCCATGATGAGCTCAAGGGCCCTCAAAGATGAGGCTGAGACAACCAAACGCATTTAACTATCATCCATGTGGAAGTCAATTCAATCCAAGCTGTATCAAGGGCCAACATCTCCTCTGTTGCACTTTCTTTCCCTCCTTAACCACATCCAACTTCACTTCTCCTGATGAAGACCAATGCTAACATCTTTATTTTTGTTTTAACTTAAAGTGACATTTTCTGGATAACTTGTTTATGATGGAAGAGCAGCATTTTGGTTGAAGTGCAATTATGAATATAAAGAGTGAAGAAAAGGTGAGTGAGAGAATTAAATTTGTTCTAAGAACGGTTCTTGAGGTTATTGTTATTTCTATTAATTTTTTATTTATTTTTAACAAAAGGTTTCAAGGACCTGATAAAAGGTTGAATGAGATCACTCCGACTTGATTATAAGTCAAGTGTTTGGTCATCGGCTCCACTGCTAAATGCACAACAAAAGGAACTGTGAACACTGTTAGTTGGTTGCACTACTTCTTTTCTATTCCTGGAGTGTAAGAATGGCTGTGACATTAAAAAATATATACACTAATTTCATCTATATCAAAGCACATTTTCAGAAACTGGCTAAACAAAATTCTACACCAAAAAAAAAGACCACCGATTTAAAGTCAACACTAACATAATTTTTACGTTCAATGAGAAAAGTGTTGTGGCTGGAGATAACAGCAATATGAAAGATGGACATCCTATTTTCCCATCTCATCCCTCCTTCTTATCGATATTAAGTACTGTAACAGTTGCATTTACACCGAGTGACATAAAATTCACATCTATGACCCAGGGACCTAACTAAAGCAAAAGGTAGCAGGGAAGACATCTAGAACTTGCTGTTCAAAGGCATCAGAACTGGTACGTGTTCAGAAAAAAAAACATTAGAAACTGGGGACTACCTAGCCTGAGCTAAGTTATGATGTGGTAGCACAATCACAAAATCTCAAGCTCCTACAAGAAAGGTTTATTTCTTACTCATTTGCGTGTCCTTTAGAGGTCAGCTGCTGCCCTCCTCCAGGTCCTACTTATCTGGGCCAGAGATGCAGCCCCCATGTGAAGGAGGAACAGAGCTGGGGCTGAACCACAAGATAGTTCACAATGCTTTTGCTTGGAGGTGGCATGTCTTAGTTCCTTTCACTCACATTTTATTGGCCAAAGAAAGTCACATGGCCAAACTGAGGTCAATGATGCATGAAAGTGTAACCCTCCCAGAGGGTGAGGCAGTGGATAGTAGCAAATAATAATATTATCTACTGCATTTACCATAAAAAGATTAAAGGTATGGATGAAAATATTTCAACTGTCTCTAGTTTCATCACCCAGTAGTAACAATGGTTAATATTTTGGTTCTGCTTTAACCAAAGTAGGAGAATAATGCCCGTACTATCTGCAATATGGTTTCTTCAATCAGCAATGTACTGGTGAAAGTCTTCCTTGTGAACAAAGACACTTTGATGTCACCACTCTTAGTCACTACATATAAGGCCACCACACGATATGCCACAATACATTTAACCATTCTTGTGCTGGGACATGTAGGCTGTATTCAGAATATTCTGAAACAATGAGACTTACCATGGAAGAGTTTATAATAATTCTATATTCATGTGTTATTATTGTAAAAATGACCTTCTTTGTGGATTTCAATACCTTTTTGCTTTATTTGAGGTCATCTGCTCTTTCCGTTTGCAAGTGATAAATGAAATCTGTCCACAATTTTACATTTAAACTTTCTGTAGCATTTTGTATTATACGTTCCTGTAGTAATGATCCCACTGGGTTGGTTTTTAAAAAATGTAATTTTAATGAAGTTTTTCCCAATTCCATTGAATGTTATAACTAACAGTTGACCTCTGCCTATCATTTGACATTTTCTACTTTTGGGTTCTTCTGTTTCCTTTAATGCTTGATGGCTTTTAAAAAAAATAATCTGCCTTTCCTTTCAATACTGATTTTTATATGGTTTTAACTGACCTTTACATTTGCCATTAATTTGAAAGATACACTTTCCCTTTCAAAGGTCTATTTCTGTTTCCCTTTAAGTGTCTCTAAATCATTCGGGAACCGTCAGTGTGTAGGTGACTAAGGCAAGAGTAAAACAGTATCTTTTGAGTCTCTCTCATCCACCTAACACCAGTCACCCCACCCCCCAAATATTCTGCTCTCAGTCCTCTTTTCAACCCTGGTGATTTAATCTGGAGTTTTAGAGAATTACACTTAGGATTCTAGACCAATGCCGAGGAGCTGACACCACTTTTCCTGGTTGGGGCCGACCAGGGTCCCAGGCGTGAGAAGACAGTCTAACAAAAGCAAAGCCTTCTCTGCCCTTTCTCAAGACCCTCCTTTTCTGCAAGTGCAGCTGACCTTTGTCATAAGTCCTGGCTCGATCAAGAT